AGAGTCTTATACTCAAGTTAAACACAAATCAAGCATTCAAGTACAGGATAGTAGAATCATAATTAAAAGCACTTTGTCTGAAAAAAGATTGGGGTGGGGGAGAAGTGGTATTAGTGGACTCTAAACTCATATGAGAAAGCAGTGTGATATGATACACCAAAAAAAAAAAAACTTGGGCTGCATGAAAAGAGGTATAGATAGTTTCCAGGAATAAGCAGCTGATGGTACCCCCATATTTCACACTAGTTCAGACCCCACTAGGAGGATTATGTGAAATTCTGGAAACTTAAAGTTTAAGGACACTGATAATATGCTGAAGTATGTCGAACAAAGGGGCAACTAGTCCTTGCCACGTAAGAAACATTTGAAGGAACTGAGGAGCCTGGTGATGAGAAGACTTAGAGAGGATATGACAACTGTCTTTTAGTATTTGGAGAATCGTCAAAAGAAAAGGTCATTAGATTTGACCCCAGAAGTCAGAACCAGAAATAATGGGAAAAAGATGCAAAGAAGCAAATCTAGGCCTGGTATCAGGGGAAAAACAAAAAACAAAATCAAGAATAACAACTTTTAACAATTAGAGCTATAAAAAAGTAGAATGGGATGCTTAGGAAATGGTAGACTTTCTCCTATTCTTCCATCGAGGGCCAGATGATCACTTGTTCCTTTTCAAGGCCAACCCCTCTACTTATTCACATTCCTTTCTGTCCCCTCTTACAGTTATTTTCACAAGCATCTCTACCCTGGAAATATTTTGGGAACTCCTTGCTCCTGAACTGAGAATGGTCACCAATGCTTTCTCTGTAATTTGCGCCATGTTTCCTGAACTCCAGTTCTCATCCCTGCAATCCCCACCTACATTTGCCCAAGCCATAGGAGATTAGTGTTCTGAAGGAGACAGATGTTCTACACAGCTGGTAATTCCAGCTTTTGCAATCCCCACGTTCCTCTAAAGCAACAAAATATCCCCAAACAACAGAGACTACTATGTTCTCTTATGAATTCATAACATTTATTGTTTATACGAGTCATTTAGCACTATCACATACTGTCTTGTGATACCCCATGCCTTCACCTTGTACTGTTAATTGCCTAGTTTGAATATGTTTATATTCATTCTACTGCCAGAATAATCTTTCTTATCAAAGATTTGCTGTGACTTCCTATTATCTCCTGAATAGTTCCTTTTCATTTGTCTTATCTTCAAGGCCTTCTTTAATCTGGTATGTCTCCCTCCTTCCAAATTTGATTCATATTACTTTATCCACCTGCCCTGTACAGCTAAAATTTTCTGTTACCCTAACGTACCATGTATCCTTCTGCCTCCTACATCTTGTAGATTACTTAGTCCATTCATTTTGTATGTGAGGTAATTGAGGTTTTTAGAGAGAGAGTATTCAATTTCAGGACTCCTGACTCTCCTTCCAGGGCTCTTCCGGCTGCATTACTCTGCCTGCCCAGTCTGGGCTTCTGCTCATTTCTTGGCACTTCATACTGTATCTTCTGCTGGGAATGACCTCCATCCACCTCTTTACCTATTAAATCCTTACATAATTTAAAATCCAACTCATACTACATTGTACCTCCACTATGAAGCCTTCATCCTTGGATATCACATTTGCAATACTTTAGTGTATTTATGCAATATTATGTATTACATTTATATGTATTTTGGTTTTAGAGAAATCAGAGAGTTTGCGGCTAGAAGAGACCTTGGAGATCATTTATTTGGCTTATTTCAGTCATTTTTCAGTCATGTCCAACTCTTCGTGACCCCATTTGGGATTTTCTTGGCAAAGATAATAGAGTGGCTGGCCATTTCCTTCTCTATTTGGCCTAATCTGCTCATTTTATACAAGAAGAAACTTGGGTCAGAGATGTGGATCAACTAGTCTGAGGTCATATAGGTAGTCAGTAGCAGAGATGGTACTCAAAGTCAGGTCCTTTGCCCCGACATGCATTGAACTCCTGGGACTCTTGCTCAGGAACATGAGCTCTGAAACTCCTTCTAACTCAGAGGTTCAGATGATACGAGTCAGAATGGGAGGGAGGAATGAGAAAGGGAAGAAGAGAAGCAGAAACTGGGGTGGAATTAAGGTCAAAGTATCTCCCTAGTTCATTCCTACATTCAACACCTGTTACCACAGGGGCCATAATATCGGTGACCCCTTTGGTACTTCTCCTGTTACTACTTCACACAGTCCTCTCGGCTCAGTGTCAGGGCCATATACACTCTGACAGAGCACCTGCAGCCTGCCTTGGAAACTGCCCCAGAAACCACAGGCCTATAGATCCTCAGTGGAAGGCTAATCACCCATCAGCTAAGTGTGTCTCCCTCTTCGGCAAGATGAAGCATGTTTCAGAGAATGTGGTGCCATGGGCAACTGTGAAAGTGACACCTCCCTTGTATCTCCTTGTAATTCAGCCTACTAACATATTCCCTATTCATGATGGTACAATGCTGAACTCCCTAGTGTAGGACATGCAGGTCTGTTAATGAAGACACGAAGTTCCCTGGGAGCGCAGTATTCCTAGGGTACCTAACTAGCACAAAACTGTGCTTAGCCAGAAAAGTCATTGGTTTGGAGTGAGAAGACTTAGGCTCATAACCTGGCCAAGCCCCTTACTATGTGAGGTTGTGCATGTCATTTCACTTCTCTTGGCATCACTTTTCCAAACTGCAAAATCAGGATGTCCAACTTGTAGGTCAAGGGCCTCTGGGGGAGCCTGTGAAGCTATTTCAAGGGATCCCTGAAGATGTGCTCCACACAGAACAATTTCAATCCTTATTTAGCTCCAACAAAATATTCAGTGTTGCTAAGCACAATGCATAAGTAAATGTACATTCTATAGAATGAATATCCCTCATGTTTCTGTTTTTCAAATATATAGTCTATATAGCCTATATTTTATTTTACTATTATTTTAATTACTTATATTATTTATTATTTAATTACTTACTATATTATTTATTAATACCCTATCATTTATATAATTTACAGTTTTGCTAGGATTAATAATATTAAATTACTTTAAATAAATTACTGAACTTATTGTAGCATTTTATTATCATGCATATCCTCAATCAATGGACTCCACAGTACAACTACTATTGGATGTGGGGAATTCTCATATTTGAAAAGTTTGGAATCCATTCTTCTAGATGACCTCAAGCCTCAAATCCTAGGCACTGGCTTCTTTGCCATTCATGTGACTGTGATCCATGCATTCAAGGTGTCCAAATGGTTCTATACTCATATGCATGACCTTCCTAGGGTGTCACTTCCTTACAAGATGTTAGAGCTGGAAGGGACCCTAGAACCTAGAATAAGGAATATTGAAGCTAGAAGAGATGTTAAAACATGGAAACAACAGAAAACAAAGTTTTGGAGCTAGAAGGAAAGACAGAGATCACCTAATTCAACCCAAAGACAGGTATGCTGACGCCCATTCTAGGTCTCTTCCCACTATACCACACTGCCTATGTTATGTCCCTTAGACCAATCTTACGCCAATACCAACTACATAAAAATTCTTGTCAAGTTCCATACCTCATATACCTATATGACCTTGGGCAAGCCTGTGGAGTAGAAAGAGCCTTTGGACTTGGAGTTATAGGAACTGAGTTTGAATTCTGACTCTATCACAAGCTACCTCTGTGACTTTAGGTAAGTCACTTAAGATCTCTGGGAAACTGCCTACTAATTTGTCTCACTGCTTCAAGTCTCTCACCAGACCAGTCCATCCAACACAGTCTTTCAAGGTAATTTTTGTTAAGCTTAGATCTGGAGACTTAATTCCCCTATTCAAACTCCAGTAACTTCCTATTGCCTCAAGAAGAAACCATAGACTCCTCTGTTTAATTTTTAAAGCCCTATCCAGACTGGCAGTGACCTATCTTTCCTGCCTCTTTGGACATTACTCCTCCTCCTTCACTCTGTGATTCAGACAAAATGCCCTTATGTCCTCTTTTATTACCCAGGAAATTTTATCTCCCATTTCTGTCCCTTTGCACTGCCCATCCTTCATGACTGAAATGTACTTCCTTCTTACCTCTGCTTCAGAGACCTTTCTATTCCTTTCAGATATATCTTAGGCATCATCCTTTACATAAAGTCTTTCCTCACCCCACTACCTTGTGTATTATTAACTACTTCACATGTATTTGTATTTATTGTTAATTTTTTTGTTATATTTCTTAAAATAATTTTTTTAGTGATATCTGGTTTTTCACGTCATCATAATTTCTCCCAGTATGTCTTTTCCTCTCCCTTCTCAGAAAGGCATCTCATCTAACAAATATTTTTAAAGGGGAGAAATAAGAGGAAAAATACCCCAGCAAAACCAATCAATACATCGAAAAAATCTCAAAATATATGCAATGTTTCACACTGGCAGACTTCCCTCCTCTGCAAAGGAATCAGGTTAGGGGTTGGAGTATTTTCTCATACCTCTTTTTTTAGGGCCTGTGGTATATATTTTTATAAGTAATTGTAAAATATATACAATCCTTCAGTAGAACATAAGCTCATTCCAAGAAATGGTTTCATTCTTTCTGTACTTGTACCCCTAGGGCCTAGCACAATGCCCGGTACATAGTAGCATTTAATAAATACTTGATTGATTTGGGCCTCAATTTCCTCATCCGTAGATGCCCTTGGGGTTGGATTTGATTGCTAAGGTCCCTTCTGGATCGAAATGCTAAGATTCCATGAAAACCACTTGCTCTCCACTTTCACTCCTACCACATCCCTGACACAAGGAGTAACAGACCTCTTCTGACTCCCCCTTTAACCAAAATAGCTCACTGCTCATCTATCTCCGCAGTCAGGGTCCACAGACCTCGATTTTTCCCTTCTTCCTAGCCCCCTGGCAGGCCAAGCTCTCTGAGCAGAGAAAAAACTACAACTCCCATATGACCTGGGTGGAAGGAGGTTGGGGGGGGCGGCAACATTTGATTGACAGGCGGCGTGCCGAACCCTCGCTAGCCGCCAGAGGGGCGCCTGGTCGCGCGTGCGCAGAAAGGCCGTTGGTAAAGGCTGCGTCGGGAGTCGCAGGCGGCCAGGTAGAGAGGTAGGGAAAGGAGGGGCGGGGGGACTGGGGGTCGCGGGAGTGGGGCCCCCTTCTGGGCAGCGAGCGGGCCTCCGCATTCCGTTCCCTGTCCACTCCTCTTGCCCGTCCCGAGAATAGAACGGTGCGGACCTAGGAAACCTCGAGGGGGAGGCGAAAGGACCGGCGCGGGGTGGGGGGCTGGGAGGAGAATCGGGGGAGGGGGACCAGAGGAAACCCTTCCCCTCCCCCCAGCCCTTGGGCTGGGGCAAGAAGGAAAACCCCCCATGGGGGGACAGCTGGGAATGGAGTTAATGGTGGACACCCTGGGATGGGGATGGGGGGAGGAGGCAGAGGCCCCGATATTGGGGGCGGGGGGAAGGGGTCGGTTTAGAAGAATGACCCCGCCAGGACCCAGGGTGAAAAGGGGTCATCCAGAGGTCATAGGGAAAGTCCAGGGGAAATATGGGAGTGGCACAAATGAGAGAGGGGTACGACCTGTGGGCTTTGATTTGTCTAGCTTGTGCAAATAGGTCAGTTTGGGTGTGGCGCCCAGTGGATTGGGGTGCCAGGTTTAGAGGAGCCAGGATGCTCAGGGTTCACATCCGTGACCCAGAGAAGAGTTAGGATGGGGAGAGGAGAGACCACAGACAGCAGGAGGCTCTGGAGAGAGGCGTGGGTAATGCTTTAGAGACGTGGCACATTGGTAACTAAAGTAACCATTCTCAGCAGGCAAGCCAGTCATGCCCTTTCATTAGGGGCAAGCATAATTGAGCTCTCTTTAGCTTAATCTCTCAAATGCGTCTACTGAAGGAAGATTTTTGAGGATATGCTTTTCCTGGTGGAAAGATCCCAGAAGGGTTGTAGGCTAACAGGGTTCTAGTCTATTAACTCATTGTGTGACCTTTTGGAAAAGCTCACATTTGTGAAATTTAGGGGAAAGAGAGTAGGCAAGGTTTGTAAAGAGGTTTTGTCCGATCTACTTTTCTCTCTTGACAAATTGTGTCAACCCCAGGGTGTTCAGCTATTTTGCACAGTTCTTCTACTAGGCTTTGGATTCATTGCCCTAATCCTGAGATTTTTATGAGCCTCCATTTCCTTTTCTCTAAAATGAAGGGGATTGCACTAAGTGCCTTTTAAAGCCCTTTCTAGCTCTGAAATTCTATATTCTAATATTTCATGTTCTAATTCCTCTTGTAGCTTTAACTGTCCATGTTCTATGAACCTGGATAGTAATAAAGGTATAGTATGGGTATGTCCCTCTGACACTTTGGTTACTTTCACTGAAGAGTCCACCAAGTTGAGGTGATCACGCAGCATCCTTCTGCAGTACACAGAACTCACCAGAAGCCAAAGACAGATGGCCTAGAAAGTGATAAAGCAGACATGCTGTCACTTTCCTAGTTGGCATGGGGAAATGGCTGCTCACTGACTGTATTACCTAAGTCTGGGAGAAAATACAAGATTTTTCAAAATCCTAGACTTGGAAGGGACCTCAGAGGACATGTAGTTTAAACCATACTTGAACAACAATCTCTTCGTCAAGAGAACCTAGCAAATGGTCAGAGGACTTTTGTATTCATGAGGTATGAAGCTTTGCAGGACGCTAGTTAATCTAGGCCAGTGAGGGTTGAAAGAGCTCCCCATCATTCTAAGGCTAGTGTCCTGACAGCAAAATTGCCTGAAGCAGCTAGATGGTGCAGTGGATAGAACACTGGGACTGGAGTCAGGAAGACTAGAGTTCAAATCCGTTCTCAGACACTTAGTGGCTATGTGACCCTAGGCAAGTCATTTAACCTCTGTTTGCTTCAGTTTCCTCAACTGTAAAATGAGGATAATAATAGCAACTACTTCCTAGGGTTGTGAGGATTAAATGAGATAATATGTGTAAAGTAGTTAGCATGGTGCCTACCATATATTAGGAGCTTAATAAATGATTGTTCCCTTCCACTAAAATTCAAGGTGGTGTAATACAGAAAAAGAAAGTAACATGCCATTTTCATTCCTCCAGGCCATTTTAGAGAATGGATGGTGGCATTACTCAGCAAATACCAGGGCCAGCTATAGCAGTGATGAGGAAACAACTAGCTCTTCTCCTTGAAACACTGCTTGGCAATAATGGTAATACTAATAGCAATAGTATTAATAATAGCCAACATTTATAAAGGCTTACTATGTGCCAGACACTATACTAACTCCTTTACAATTAATCTCATTTGATCCTTGCAACAATCTCAGGAATTAGGTGCTATTATTATCCTCATTTTACAGATGAAGAAACTGAGGCAGATGTCTTAAGTGACTTGCCCAGGGTCACATGTCCACTAAGTGTCTGAGGCCACATTTAAGCTCAGGTCTTCCTGACTCTAGGCCCAGTGTTCTATCCAGTATACCACCTAGCTGCTTAGGCAAGGCCCTGCAACCACACTTGATTGATTTTTTTTTTAATTCAGGAATCCTGTAATTCCTTGCCTTGCCATAACAGGGAGGTGACCCTAGGCTCTTAAAGGCTATGCCAGGTGAACATAAACCCTGACAGGTGAAACTAGCCTGAGAAGACCTTGAGTACAGACCTTGGAAAAGATTTTGTGTTCCTCATCCGAGGGCCACTCTAGCTAAGTAAAGAGGGACTCATATCCACAAGGTTGGCTATCTGGTGATTGATATTTTCAGCCATAAGTCAAATAGTCTAATAATACTAAGTAGCCACACTAAAGTATGGGTGGACTATAGAATACATCATGAAATACTAAGACTAAGCATGGTTGGGAGAATAGAGGTTGGGGGAGATCAGGTTGTCATGAATCAGAATTGAAAGCAAGAACTATTTAGGGCCCTAGTCGTATATCACTTGCCAAAATACATATTTCCATTACATATTCCAAGTCTCCTTCCTGCTTCTCAAAGGACAGTTAGGACATGATCACTTTCTTCCGGTATTTGAGGGGCTATTATGTGGGGGAGGAAGTATATTAATTTTTAAATTAATTGTTATTATAACAGGCACAGCCCCCACTTCTTCATAATATGATCAGTTATTCTCAAGTGCCTTACAGAATTCTCCCTGTGACTGTGCCCTTGGAGGGGTGCATATGTTGGTAAGAGGACTGTCTCAAGTGAGTGGGAAGATTTTAGGAGTGCTAGATTTTTATTTAGAAGACCTGGGTTCAGATCCTTTACTTTGTGACTTTGGGCAAGTCATAATCACTTGGGGCTTGGTTTCCTGATCTGTTTGCACAGAGAGAAACGATATCTCTAAGGCCTCCTCCAGATTTGAATCTATGACCTTATGTCATTTTGAGGGAAAGGGATCAGGAAGGGTAGCTATGTTTTATTTGCCAGATTTCTAGGGATCTCCATAGGCTTCCATCATTCTCTTTAAACTTCCTTCCCGACATTGTTATTTTCTTGTCCAAGACCTGCCCTAAGTCCAACTGAGTCAAATATAGGTAGGCTACAAGCAGAGCTAGAAGGGATCTTAGAGACTATCTTAAATCTTGCCCCCCCCCCCATTTTACAAATGAAGAACCTCAGGTCCACCAATGGGGAATTAGGTGTCTAATATTACACAGTGGAAATGGGATTTGAACCCAAGTGGTTTGACTCCATTATCCTACTGCTGATTTAACAGAGTAAGTTTAGGTGAGTTTGGGAATACCTGGGAGTGGGAGGATGATTTTTCCCTCTCCCTGCTGTGCTGTCTCAGGCATCACTGAGTAATATTGGCTGCTAGGATGTTATTAGTGTTTCTGATATCCAAATGTTTGTGGAAGATACAAGAGACTCTGTCTCAAGATTCAGACAAAGACAGAAGACAGGCAAGGAATTTCTACCAAACCTATTATTAACTCATTAACTGATGACACTTGATTCATCGTTGACAGGTTTGTTTCCTTTATGCATAAGTACACACACTCTCTATTTTTTTACTGTGTGTTCCAGGCTCTATGCTTTTTCATAAGAAGAGGTAGTATTGAGTGATGGGGGGCACCTTTCTTGCTATAGTGATTCATTTGTAAATCCTCTCCCCTGCTTCGCTCCCCAGTGCCTATGCTTGCTAAGCCCTCGCCTGATGAGTTTAATCTCTATTGCCAGCAAGTTCCTGAACAGTCCTAAGTGGCTGTCCGTGCTCTAGCACACAGAACTGGGCAAATGTCAATTTGAGGTATCGGTGCCTCATTGGAGATAGTCCCACTAACTGCTCTGGAATACACATGAACACTCCCCAGGGGTGACTATGTGCAGTATGAAGCCAGCTGTTTACCTAATTGACATTCTGTTATGCAGGACAAGATAATATATTTTAGAAAACTTGCATAAAAGTAGTGGAGGGAATAACCTACAAAATACTACCCAAACTGGTCTGGCCAATAAACAGAATAAATATGTATATTTGAGAAAGGGGTAATTGTAATGCACATTATATATCCGAGTCTAGAGCTAGAAAACTACACTTTGGCCATAAGCTTAAGCTGACCTTACAAAATGCCTGCTGGTACATCCACTGATGCCACTGTGGGAAGATAGGATGATTTCAAATGAAAGCTAAATATGTTTGAGGATCTAATATCCCAGATAAGGTCTCTCCATTTCATGTTAGCCTGTTGGTCACCTTTTGGTTTGGGAGTTCCCCCATATTGGATGACCTAAGAGATGTTTTTAGGATGTAGACAAGTTGTGGGAAATTTAGCCACTCTTGTCTTGCCTGATATCCTTAAAGATCTGTGCTTCCAAGGTGGGCATGGCTTAAGGCTATCAAAGCATACTGGGGTTCTTATTTCCTGTTCCAGTCCAGGTCTCCATAGAACCAGTACAGAGAAATCACTTCCTTCCTATGGGTGCATGCAAGTAAAAACTCTGAGCTGAATCTCATCTCAGAAACCCAGGACCTTCTCATTGACTAGACGTAAACCGTGGTGTTAGTGGAAAGAGTGTTGGATTTGGAGTACAGACACCTACGGTCTAGTTCCAACACTGCCACATATTAATTGTGATGTTTGGGAAGACTTCACATCTCTGGACCTCAGTTTTCTCATCTGTAAAATGAAAATGATAATAGACTACTTTGCAAAATTCTATTGGGGAAAAGCACTTTAGAAACCTTAAAGAACTATAAAAATTTAAGATTCAATTCAAATACTTCCCCATGCACTCTGGATCTTATATAATTAAATTAGCTTTGTTTTGGAAGTTAGTGAATGAGGATCCAAGTTGACTGGTGCCTGGAGAGGGGGCAGAGTTCCTAACCTTTGATGAACTAAGCAAAGATGCCTCTTTTTTTAGCTGTCTTTCATTTTAGTGATCCCAGAGCATCTGGGCCTTTTTTTTTTTTTGGTGTTTTAGACAGGATTACCTAAGAATGCATCTGTTTGTTAGAATCTGAATCATGGTAGTTTTACAAAATGTGCTTCTTCTCGGGCTGTATGAGTCTAGTATTTGGGGAGCAATGGGAAAAGGTACAAATATGAAGTACCAGTTACTGTGTGCCAGGCACTCCTTTCAGTGATTTATGAGTATCTCATTTGATCCTCACGACAACCGTAGGAGGTAGATGCAGTTATCGTCTAAGTGTCTAAGAGATCAAATTTGAACTCAGGTCTTCCTGACTCCAGGCTTAGTGCTATATCCACTACACCACCTTGCTGTATATATAGGGGTAGGAGGAAAAGGGGAACTGATTCTATTTTTTTTTTAAAAAAGGCAAATATCTGCTAGTAAGAACACTGATGACAGTATCCTTGCCTGATACCTCAACTGTGGGAACTCATGTTCTTCTGGCAAGCATACCTGTGTCCCAAGGAGGGGGGGAGTAAGAAGAAGAGAGGGAATGAGAGAGAGAAAGAGAGAGAGAGAGAGAGAGAGAGAGAGAGAGAGAGAGAGAGAGAGAGAGAGAGAGAGAGAAAGAAGAAGAAGAATTTAAGGAAGGAGAGATTGACATAATTTCCCCCATATTTACATGTAGTCATATAAACTTATGCACACATGCACATATGTGCACAATTACAGCTATAAAATTTTCTGACATTTCACAAATTTGTGGAACTATATCATTAGCTCCTCCATAGGGTCAGCTTCAGAAATAAAAGAATGCTGCATTGTGGATTAATATACACAATATCTGGCCACCCAGTGGTGCCTTCATTGTGGTGCTCCAGAGCCCATGCAAGAAAACTGAAGCCTTTGGCTTGAAATTGAGGGATTTCATGGGTGGAACTCTGAGATACCAGTTGTAATTGTAAGCATTTACAAAGATATATACATTAGGTGCTTGCTGTCTCTCTTTGGATTATCTGTGATGACCTAAGGCCTCTTCCCACTTACTGCTAATCTCGTTCTAGATGTCACTAGTGGAGACCAAACCTTCAGGGAGTCTAGGCCAGATACTTAAAAGTTGGGTACTTCTATTATATGCAGCTCCACCTTTTTCTACCTCACTGTTCCAAAGCAGAATATGATATATCTGCTGCTTCTTCCCTTCCTTAGCACCTTAGTGCAGCAACAGAGAGTTGATTATATTTTCAAAGTGTTTCCTACATTGCTGGATTGCCCAGAGTATTCACACAATTAATACACTTCTCCCCTCCTTCTCCAGGCCATCTGTACATCACAGGAATATATAAGCTGCATTTGGACTTCGGAAGGCCTGCACTTATCTCTAGTGTCTTCCTTCCGCTACTGCTTTTTTCAGGACTGAATTTTAAACCACATAAAATGCTAGAAGGAGGAAACTGAGAATTATGGGCTTTGGGACGATTCTATCTTTAGCAAAGTGGGGAATAACCAAATAGGTCTCATCATTAATTGACTGTATGTTTGTGTGGTTTAAGGGCTAGGGAAATGAATTACTGTTCCCCCTCTTTTTATTGACAGGAACCAAAACTGTATGGAATGAAGGCAAGCAGTGAGTTACTCTGTTTCAGGCTATACTAGTTGAAAGTTGCCCTGGGCTGGCCATGGCTACAGCTTCTCAACTGAATCTGGATGCTCTTCGGGAAGTGCTAGAATGCCCCATCTGCCTTGAATCCTTCACTGAAGAGGTTTTACGCCCCAAGCTCCTTCATTGTGGCCATACCGTCTGCCGGCACTGTCTGGAGAAATTATTAGCAAGCAGTATCAATGGTGTCCGCTGCCCCTTCTGTAGCAAGGTTACACGCATCACCAACTTATCCTTGCTGGCAGACAACCTGACCATCCTGAAGATCATTGACACAGCCGGGCTGAACGAAGCCATGTCACTGTTGATGTGTCGGACCTGTGGGCGGAGACTACCCAGACAGTTCTGCAAGAGCTGTGGCATGTTGCTTTGTGAGCCCTGTAGGACAGCAAAGCACCCATTGCCCAAACACAGTGTGCTCCCCATCAAGGAGGCAGCTGAGGAGCGGCGGCGTCACTTTGGTGAGAAGCTTGCTCAGCTGAGGGAGATGGTCAAAGAATTGCAACTGCGGAAGCAGACCCTTGAAAGGGTCTCCAAAGACTTGCAGGGCCGCTACAAGGCAGTTCTGCAGGAATATGGGCGGGAAGAACGGCGGATCCATCAGGAGCTAGCACGCTCACGCAAGTTCTTCACGGGATCCCTGGCGGAGGTGGAAAAGGCCAATAGCCAAGTGATGGAGGAACAGGGATACTTGCTAAATATTGCAGAAGTACAGGCTGTGTCTCGTTGTGACTACTTCCTGGCCAAGCTCAAACAGGCAGATGTGGCTATTTTGGAAGAGTTAGCTGATGAGGAGGAACCAGAGCTGACAGCCAACCTGCCCCAGGAATTGACCTTACAGGATGTAGAGCTCCTCAAGATGGGTCATGTTGGCCCACTCCAGATTGGCCAGGCAGTTAAGAAGCCCCGGACAGTCAATGTAGATGAACCCTGGATTGAGGAGGTTGACACCACCTCCATGACAATCCCGGAGATGGATGGGAGCTCAGATGACATGACCCCTAGTCCTCGGTCTTCACCTTCTCGTCAGCGAAAGTCTGAGGCAGCTGCCAGCATACAACAATGCCACTTTATCAAGAAGATGGGTGCTAAGGGCAGCACACCAGGCATGTTCAACCTGCCTGTCAGCCTCCATGTCACCAATCAGGGTGAAGTGCTGGTAGCTGATCGAGGCAATTTCCGTATACAGGTCTTCTCCCGCAAGGGCTTCCTGAAGGAGATTCGGCGCAGTCCTAGTGGCATCGACAGCTTTGTGCTCAGTTTCCTTGGGGCTGATCTGCCCAATCTGACCCCACTGTCAGTGGCCATGAACTGCCAAGGATTGATTGGTGTGACTGACAGCTATGACAACTCTGTCAAAGTGTATACTTTAGAAGGCCACTGTATTGCTTGCCACCGGAGTCAGCTGAGCAAGCCCTGGGGCATTACTGCACTACCCTCAGGACAGTTTGTGGTCACCGATGTGGAGGGAGGCAAACTGTGGTGTTTTACCGTTGACCGATCAGCTGGAGTGGTCAAGTTCAATTGTCTCTGTGGCGCTGTTCGGCCCAAGTTTGTTACCTGTGATGCTGAAGGCACTATTTATTTCACCCAGGGTCTGGGCCTCAACCTGGAGAACCGACAGATTGAGCACCACCTTGAGGGTGGTTTCTCCATTGGTTCTGTGGGCCCCGATGGGCAGCTAGGCCGTCAGATCAGCCACTTTTTCTCTGAGAATGAAGATTTCCGCTGTATTGCTGGTATGTGTGTGGATGCTCGTGGGGACCTCATTGTTGCTGATAGCAGCCGAAAGGAGATTCTTCACTTCCCCAAGGGTGGTGGCTATAATGTTCTTATCCGGGAGGGACTCATTTGTCCTGTAGATATTGCTCTTACTCCTAAAGGGCAGCTGCTGGTACTAGATTGTTGGGATCACTGCATCAAGATCTACAGTTACCACTTAAGAAGATACTCTACGCCTTAAAGGGAGCTGGCGTTCTCCACCATAGCCATCCTTTCTCCTAATAAATCTGTGGGTGTCTTTAATGCCATAGATTAGTTTTGTGTCCTGATCCTAGCTGGGTAAGTATAGAATGCAAGTGTCAGTGTTTAGAAGTCCTGTACTTTAGTTTGCCTCTAAGAATAGAGCTTTAAAGGATCAGCTGGCATTGAAGATGTGGGACAGTTAGCTGTACTCTGATTAGCCACCAGGCCCCTCCAAGACTTCGCCAGTTTTAATCATCATAGAGACTAAAGAATGTCTTACCAGCAAATCCTCATTGATTTTCCTGTTTCTCTTTTGGATCCTTGGCTTGTTGGCTTGTTTCCACATACATTCTGCCTGCCAACAAAGGGTTCTCTGCACTGCTGACTGATCTGCATGCTGTACTGGGACCTGCTCCCCCAGCTCCTTATGGCTCTTCAGTAGCATTTCAGATGTATCCCAGTAGTACTGCCACCGAGTTCACTCACCTTTACTAATGTGAAACAAGTCCAGTGCTCCCCAAGAAGATACCTTGGAAGGCTATTTTCTGCAGACCAGAATATTTTAAATATCTTAACCACCAGGGTTTAGGGGTGATTGAGAATGGAATGACTTTGTGGACCATTACAGAATTCTAAATTGAAAGCTGATTGTCTGTTAAAGGGATTTGTGTTTTGAAACTTTGCCAAAGTAAAAAAAAAATGGAATCAATAATAACATTAACAAATAATAAGTTTATTCATACTCTTCAAGATGCTGTAGTTTGGCCCACCATTATTCATGATCAACTTCCATGGGTCTACTCACTTGTCTAAGAGTTTGTAAAACAAGGCCAAGGGGTGGGAGTGGATTGAGAATCATTATCATTATTGGAAAACTCTTTGGTGGGTGCTTAGCCTGCATTTTCCCAATGGAGTGTAAAATATTCAGTTTCAGGATTTATTTCTATTCCTTTGTTAAGCATTAAATAATTGATGGCAGTTTCCCCATTACTAATGTTTGTTTCTTTTAATTAAATATTGGGAGGTGGTTTTTATATCCCATCGCTCACTTAGCTGAAGTTCTCTTTTTTAGCAGGCAGTGCCATCAAAAGGATCTATCCTGCACCATCACACAAATCCCACTCTCAGTACATAGAAACAATTATCAGGCACCTAAGGTTTAAAGTCATGGACTCACAGTTTTAAATTGAGTCTTTACCATCTGTTCTTGCCTTCTAATTACAATTCCAAAAGTGAAAGCAAGGTTTCTTCTTTGAAGAAGATAGTCTTGTGGGTGAAGGCATTGAAGAATTAGTGCCTGAATATTTGTGTTGACTAAGCCTTTGCTCTTCCTGAATTTCAGGCACAGAAGGGTGCCTGGAGATGGGAGCACCATAGACCTACAATTACTGAAAAAACAGTTTTTCTGGGTTGCATTACTCAAAAACTGATTTTTCTTTTTTGGCCTGTATTGGGATTAGCTCCCAAAGGACAGAAAATGACATAATTAAAGGTAGCCCAGAACTAATTTGTCTTGGGCTTTGCACCTGAAGAAAGCACAGACCGGATTGTGAAATTATGTCTGATTTTAAAAGATGGTGTTAATGGAGGGAAAACTGATTCAATTAGAAGTATATCACAAGCACCTCCTCTTCCTATTAAAAGTACTTTATCAGCCATAGCAGCTAGTGGCAGAAGATCTGTTTCCCTTTGCTGAAACAATAATTAAGGGAGCACCTTGGAATACACACTTTGCTGCTGAAAAGTGAATACAATTTTCTTGGCATATTTGACAGAAACATTCCCAGCACTTTTCCATCTGCTATTAGCCCATCTATCATTGGGGTACTTTTGTATCTCTACACATTATCCCTGAGTTATACTTAGTGTTTTGTTCCTTAGATAACCACAGCATGCAATTACAGACCAGAGAAATGTGGGACTGGATGCAGGATGCTGATAAGCCAATTGTGTCTCAGATTCTTTCTCCTTTAGTGCTAATGGATGGGCAACATGGTGTTATCCTTCCTTTCTATTCCTTTCCTGTAGAGCTTTTGAAATTCCAACTCTTAGCCACCTCTTCTGTCACAGGAAAAATGTGGGAGAAAGCAAATCTTAGACCTGACAGAAAGGACTGTCAGTTCCTAGAAGGCAGTGGGTGGTAGCAAGGAGTAGAACAGTGATCAGGATACAAAATCTTGGTCTTAGTGGTCAGGTCATCAGAGTTGGGTTCATTTCAAATAAAAAAACTTGGGGAGCATCAGATGTACCCCTATACAAGTGGAAGTTCCAAAGCATAATAGAATCCAAATACATGTTTCAGGCATCTATTCTTAATACCCTTTCTTCCATCTATGGGGTTAATCCAGAGCTATTTAAGAATCCAGAGCCTTCCTATGAAGACAGTTCTGTCTGGCCCATTTCACAACTGAATAAACTAGAGACCTAGAGAACCAAGCTACTGGTAGAGATGAGCTGCAATCTCTATACCTGTAGAAGAAGCCATGAATTTTAATGCCATTAACTTTCCCTGCTGACTGCCACTAGCCTTTCTGTTTCCCTGTTTGTAAATTCCTTTGAAAGCTGCTATTGACTTCTTACCTGTAGAGTGCTTTGAGATCACTGAATGAGCCACTGGCTGGAAGTGCAAATTAGTATCCTTGTCAAGTTCTGGGGGAAGCCCAGAGACACCCAGACTTCAGACTCTACTCTTCAGTTATTCCTCTCTACCGAGCTGGGTAACACTTCACTTCTAAGTGGCCATTAATTAGTACCAGATTAAAAGTGCAACTGCTTAAACATTACTTGCCTTACCCATAGGAAAACTATAAGACATGGAACAAGCTCATCGCACTGTGTGGTTAATGGAGTGCCTCCCCACTGACTATCTCCAAGCATTTACTGATGTGAATTAACCTGCCTCAACTCCTTTACTAGCCTCTACTGAGCAGCTCCCCTCTTCCCTTTTTGTAAACTTAACCCCATCCCAGAGCTGTATGTGGGCTTCAGTCAGAAATCCAAGTAGGGGGGGTACATGGTAAGACAAATTTAAACAGGGACACGACTTCTTGCTTTGAATTCCCAACTAGACTACTAATGTGGTCATCCTTTTTGTATATGTAATCTCTTAAACAGATTTTTTTAACCTGGTGTCTACTGTCTGTGGATAGATTTCAGAGGATCTATGAACTTGAATGGGGGGAAAAATATTTTAGTATAGTTGGTTTCCTTTGTAATCATATGAATTTTATTTTATACATTTTAAAACATTCTGTGAAGGGGACCATGACATATACAAAAAGGTTAAGAACCTCAAGGTCTCCAGATCTCTGCTTATGTCATGAAAGAGTAGAGACTTACTAAGTCTTAGTAAGAAAGACTTAGCAAGGATTGTACTTAGAAAGTGGAAGAACTTGAGAGCTGGAAAGTACCTAAGAGCTCAGCAAAGCCAGTACTAGAACTAACAGATAAGGAAACAGCCACAGAGAGGAAGTAACTTGCCTACCTGAGGTTGCACAGCTAATAAGCAATGGAGAAAAGTAGAACCACGGTCTCAGAAAGGTGAATCCTTGGCCAGTTTAGAAAGATCATGAATGACTTTCATCAAGGAGCATCAATAGCTCAAAGCTGTCATTCTCATTCCCAGTACCACTTATGATGGTTAGGTAGCTATTCCGTTATAGAAGTGAGGAGAATGAGACTGAAAGATTATTCCAGCTATGGATCTATAAGCCTGTGAAATTTACCTGGGCTTCAATCTTGCTTTTGATGATTACTAGCCCTGTGACTTTGAAGTCACTTGCCTCTGATTACTTCAAGCAACTCTAGACTTAGCTACTAATTAACAGACAGGAAACAATCTATTGATAGAGGATCTTCTACAGCACTTATATTTTGTTCACTATCTTGTTTGATCCTCACAACATTCCTACAAGCATTATTATCTCCATATAATAGATTAAAAACTGGTTGAGAAGCTCCACAAAGTGATTTCCTAAAGTCACAACTAATGTCAAAGGCTTGAAAATAAACTAAATCTTCTAACTTCAAGTACCTAAAGATGAAATCAGGGAAGTGATTGCATAGGATGGTAAGATTTCCATAAAACCAAACAGCTTTTCATCAAGTCCTTTCATAAACTGGTTGATGACTTGAGGCTGGGTTAATGCTATTTTAGTCCAACACACTTTGATTAAGCATTTCCTCTGTGCAAAGTGCTGTTCTAAGTTCTAATGGACAGAAGGCTAAAACATGTCCCCACTCTCAAAGAGTTTATGATCTAGGCAGGGAGATAAATAACTATAATGCCAAGTAGTAGGTGATTATTATATTAAAAAAATGCAAACATAATACAATGACACTTCATGGAAAGGAGACCTCACATTTATATGGAGACATGGGGGGAGGCAGTATCTACAACCTTAAGCAGGAAGGAGGTTAGAAAGATGAATAGAATTTTCAACAGGCAGGAGAGAAGTGAATAAAAGCACAATCCCTAAAGACAAGTAAGGGATGTAAAAGACAGCCTCAAGAAAGGCTCAGTTTCAAGGACAGGTTGGGGGAAAAAAAATGCAACAGCAAACTCAGCTGAGCTCAAACTCCTAATTAAGAAGACTGTGAGGGGGAGGTAAAGGCTATAAGGGCAAAATTAGAACTTAGCTACAGCTATGTATCCTGTAGGGAAGCTTGAGCACACTAAACCTGCAGGCTAATTAATTGATTAAAATAATTGGGGTATCATTTTGAATTTTTGAAGAGGGCAAAAAAAGTCAAGGGAGGAAAGTTAAAAAAAAAAAGCTTGGGTTTTCAAATGAGTTTTGTGTGTGGCTAGCTTAAAAGATTTCAATATATATATGTATACATATATATGTTCATATACCATTTGCTCAGAGACTAAAAATAGGTTCTTATTCCATTTTATGTTATGACAGGCTATGCTCAGTAATTCCTGGTCAGAGTAAGCTAAGACTGTTTGGGAGATAAGCTTATTTTCATGGTGGATGGGTTGACCAAGAAAATAATATGTTTGAAATAAATTGCTTTATAAGTGTCTCTGTTACCAACGTGCAGTGCTGTGGCATAATGGAAAAGCAGTGTACTTTGTATCAGAACACTTGGGTGCAAATCCCAGTTCTGTCACTTAATAGTTTTACAATACCACTCACATTTATATAATGTTTTGAAGGCACTTTCTTTACAAAAACTATATTTAGCCAGCAGTCAAGTATTATTAGCCCTCTTGTATAGATGAGGAAGCAGGCTCAGATCAGGTGACTGACCAAGGAATGGATAGCTTTCTTGTGAGTCCCTTGTTCTTGAAGAGGACCAATGACATCATCAGGCTGATGTCTTGACTTGCCCAAGAACTGGATTTCAAGTGAGGCAGAGCTGCAGAGTCATCAGCCTCATTCTCTCCTCCAGAGTCATCAAAGCCCAGTGGCAAGACAAAATTCAAAAGGACTGACAGTGGCCCGGAATGCCTTGGCTGTCTTTTTGTCTGAGGCAATATCCATTTGATGACTGAGGGTTAGGGAAGGATAGAGACAACTTGTTCAGCAAGGGTCAGAGGTAGGATTTAAACTCAGATAGGTGTCCCTTGGTTCCAAGTGCAGCCTCTTTCCACCTTCCATCGTGAAAGCTGAAAACTCCACACAGTGAGCACTAGTTGCCTCAGTATTCCTCCTACCCACCTCACAGCGTTATGAAGAAAGTGCTTAGCATGAGTGCAAGCTCTCATCATTCTATTCATAGCCAATTGCAGTTTTATTGTGACCTAGTCACAACTTGGGCTCTATTTTAAGTGACTCTCACACCAAACCTGATGGTATTTGCAAATAGAAGGGAATGACTTGTCACCCAGTCACTCTTGGGGGGTGGTGAGTCTCTGAGGATGATGTGACACCTCCTTCTCTAAAGAATCCTGAAACAACTTGGCCAGACCTCTGGTATCTCATTGTTGTCCTTTCAGTGGACATGTTTCTGGACTTTTCAGCAAGACA